GGAAGTTCCGAGTCGACGGGGGTGTGCTCCGAACTTTCCGACATATGCTGGGCGGGGCTTCTTTCACCGGAAACTTCCGGTGGTGGAATCACCTCCTTGGCTTCGTGGAACTCACTGCTTGAGTCCTCACTCGCCGACACCTCCAACGTGAAAGCTTTCTTCCGATTAGCCTTATGCTTGGTTCGAGGCATGGTGGCTCTAGGGTTTCTGAGTTTTTGCAGAAAGGGAAGAGGAATCTTTGGGCGTTTAAGGGAAAAGGAGACAGTTATCAAGCAGAGTGAGAGAAGAGAGTGGGGAACGTGGGTCTTAAAAAGGAAAACAAAAAGCAGGATGTGCATTGATCCCAATATTCCCAATACAAAATTTCCCTCCCAAATAAAAAGAAATCTTCCTCAAATCGTTATAATTAATTTCCCTTCCCTAAAATCTTGGAAAAGACTAACCTCTCTCCTCGAAATGATGCAGCCATATTTGCATTAGATAGCCCACCTGCACGTCTGCCATGCCGCACCACTGCCATCTGCTCTCTGCCTCTGCTTGCGCTAGCAACATCACCTCTTTACTGTTGCTTCCGAAATTTACTTACAATTCACTCTCGCTTGACTTTAATCTTATCCCTTTTGCAAAGCAGAAATAACAAAATTAAATTGTAAAGATGAAATACGAACAAATTAAACTCCTAAGATGAATAATTAAATTGCGGGAGCACGAGAATGATTTAGCATTAAATTATGCTCAATTATTCCTTTGTTTAATTTCTTCAGTTTGTCACGAAGCGGTGGGCTCCAGCATCTCGCACCATGTTCTCTCCATAGAAATGCTTTTACCTCTGCTCGTTTACCGTAAATTCTCTTCTTGAATCTATTTCTTGCACCTTGATGGCTCCGTGAGGGTACACTGTGAGACTAAGAATGGTCCTGACCATCTAGATTTGAGTTTCCCAAGGAAAAGCTTCAGCTGTGAGTTGTACAGCAATACTTGCTGGCCTTTTTCAAACTGTCGCGGCTGGATTCTCCCATCATGCCATCGTTTTGTTTTCTCCTTATATATTTTGGCATTTTCGTAAACATCTCTGCGAAACTCCTCCAACTCTAGTAATTGAAAGCAGTGCACTTCTCCTGCTGCAACATAATCCAAATTCAGCTTCCTTATGGCCCAAAATGCCTTATGCTCCAGCTCTAACAAGAGGTGACATGGTTTTCAAAAAACCAATTTGTATGGAGAAGTACCCAGAGGCGTTTTGAATGCAGTGCGAATAGCCCATAGGGCATCATCGAGCTTCATTGACCAGTCTCTTCTATTTGTGCTCACTACTTCTCCAAAATGCTTTTGATCTCCCTATTGGATATCTCAGCTTTCCCATTCGATTGGGGATGGTAAGTTGTAGATACTTTATGCTTGATATTGTACTTAGCAAGGAGAGATGTTATAGCTTTGTTGATGAACTGGGAGCCTTCGTCACTGATTACGGCTGTAGGTGTGCTAAACCTTGTAAATATATGCTTGTACAAAAACTTGGCGACCACTTTGGCGTCACTGCTGGCGCACGTCACTGCCTCGACCCATTTTGATACATAGTCAATCGCTAACAGGATGAATAGGTGTACATTTGATGGAGGAAGGGTCCCATGAAATCCATGCCCCAGACATCGAAGAGTTCTACCTCTAAGATGTATGTGAGAGGTATTTTAGACCTCTTGGAGATGTTTCCAATCCTTTGGCATTCGTTGCAGTGTTGAACTAATTCGTAGGCATCCTTAAAAATAGTTGGCAAGAAGTACCCACTCTAGAACACGTTTGCTACTGTCTGCTGCGCTCTAAAGTGGCCACTATATGGTGCAGAATGGCATTTGGTCAGCACTTGATGTGCTTCAGCATTGGCGATGCATCTTTTGATCATTTTGTGTTGACAAGCTTTGTAGATAAATGGATTGTCCCACATATAGAATTTATTCTCATGCATAAACTTCTTTAGTTGTTGCTTGTTTATATCACCTGACAATATTCTACTAGCGATGTAGTTAGGTAGATCAGCGAACCATGGCTTCTCTTCCTCATTCAGAACTTCAATTGCCAACACCTACTCATCTGGACATGTTCCTCTGATCTCTGATTCTTCCCTTGAGGTTCSTAGGCCAGTCAATATGGACAAGTCGTCAGCAACCGAGTTTTCCGTTCCCTTTTTGTCCTTGATTTCTATGTCAAACTCTTGCAACAGCAAAATCCAGCGAATCAACCTCGGTTTAGCATCCTTCTATGTGAGCAGATATTTTAATGTTTCATGGTCTGTATAGACAGTCACCTTAGATCCTACCAGATATGCTCTGAACTTCTCAAAGGCGAACACCACTACTAATGATTCTTTCTCCGTGGTGGTGTAATTAATTTGTGCCTATATCAGAGTTTTGCTGGCATAATAGATTGGACGCAGCAACTTTTCTTTGCGTTGAGAAAGAACTGCTGCTACAGCATAGTCGTTGGCATCACACATGAGTTCGAACGGCTGCGTCCAATCTGGTGCTGTTATTATTGGTGCATGGGTGAGAGCATGTTTCAATGTGTTGAACGCCTGCAGACAATCAGATGTGAAGTTAAATTCTTTATCATTCTCAAGTAAAAAACAAATAGGTTTAGAGATTTTCGAAAAATCCTTTATAAATCTGCGATAAAAACCGGCGTGCCCTAAGAAGCTGCGGATGCCCTTGACATTCACAGGTGGGGGCAATTTCTCTATTGCCTCTATCTTCGCCTTGTCTACCTCAATGCCCTTGCTGGAGACTCTGTGCCCTAGCACAATTCCCTCCTGCATATGAAGTGACATTTCTCCCAATTCAAGACCAGGTTTTTTTCTTCACATCTTTTCAGCACCTTCTTCAGATTTTGCAAGTACTCTGCAAATGACTTTCCAAAAACTGAAAAGTCGTCCATAAACACCTCAACTAATGATTCTACCAAGTCAGAAAAGATGGCCATCATGCACCTTTGGAACATTGTTGGGCCATTGCAAAGCCCAAATGACATTCGTCTGAAAGCGAATGTTCCGTATGGACAAGTAAATGTCGTCTTCTATTGATCTTGCGGGGCTATCGTAATCTGATTATACCCACTGTACCCGTCTAGAAAACAGTAATACTCCTGCCTTGCAAGTCTGTCTAGTATTTGATAGATGAAAGGGAGAGGAAAATAGTCTTTCTTTTAAGCCTTATTCAGCTTGCGATAGTTCATACATATACGCCATCCTATCACCGTCCTCGTAGGTATCAACTCATTCTTTGCATTCTCCACCACAGTCGTGCCTCATTTCTTAGGCACACACTGCACTGGGCTTACCCACAAGCTGTCTGAATTGGGGTATATAATATCTGCGTCTAGCCAGTTAATGATCTCCTTCTTCACTACTTATTTCATTGCTGGATTAACTCTGCGTTGGGGCTTTATGGAGTTCTTGCAAGCCTTTTCCAGCACAATCCTATGCATCCAAAAGCTGGGGCTTATTCCCCTAATATCAGCAATAGTCCATCCAATAGCCTTCTGATGGGCTTTTAGTACGTTCAACAACATCTGCTTCTTCTCCATGGGTAGGTTTGCGGCTATGATGATTGGCAAGGTTTCTGACGAACCCAAGTAGGCATACTTTAGGTGCTGGGGTAATGCCTTAAGCTCAAGAACTGGTGGTTCTTCTATAGAAGACTTCAGCAATTTATACTCATAATTTTCCAGATCTAAAGACTCGTGTATGCTCTTGGCTGATTTTTCACTTTTATCTAAGTAAATAACCCCAGAATGCTCCTCTATATTGTCAATGACGCTTCCAGAGTCGACAACTTCTAGTTGCTCTAACATGGCTTCTGCTTCTAACTCTTCCATGAATGCTTCATCTAGAATCTTTAGCACTGAACACTCTTCTGATTCAGCTCGGAATTTCATTGAGTCGTATACTGAGAATTTCATTTCTTGATCTTGAACTCGAATCGTCAACTATCCTTTGTGCACGTCTACCAACGCTCTCCCCGTTGCAAGAAATGACCTCCCAAGGATGATTGAGACCTTCTTATATGCCTCATAATCCAAAATAATAAAGTCAGCATGGAAAATGAATTTATCAACTTGTACCAAGACAGCTTCAAATTTTCGYTCCGGATGCGTAATGGACCAGTCCGCAAGTTGCAATGTCACCGTCGTAGGCCTCGCTTCTCCTATACCCAACTTGTTATAGATGGATAAAGGTATCAGATTGATGTTGGCTCCTAGATCACATAATGCAAGCCTAATTTTATGTCCTCCAATGGAAACAGGTATCATGAAGCTTCCAGGGTCCTTCATTTTTGTTGGAATTTTGCTCGTGAGGATATTGCTACAAGCCTTGGTCATTGCCACAGTCTCATACTATCCCAGCTTTCTCTTCTTGGTGGGTATCTCCTTTAGGAACCTCACGTAGTTCTACATCTGTTTTAGAGCTTCCACCAAAGGTATGTTAACATGCAGTTGCTTCAGCACATCTAAGAACTTCTTGAACTGAACATTCTGCTCTTTCTTCTGCAACCGCTTAGGATATGGTGGTGCCGATCTGTATTCTGTTTGAGCATCTACATGCTCTGCCTGCTTTATTTTCTCGGGCACTCTAGTCTACATTGATTCTACCTTGGATGCATTAATCTCCATTGTGGTGACCTTCTCAATATTATTATCCTGAACTTCGCTTGGTTGCTCCATAATTTGCACTGGCGGAGTAAGTGAAACTATCTTTGTTGGCTTACTATCCTTCGCTGTCTAAGATTCTCGTGATTCTTTCTGAGTAGGCTCGCTCACTACCTCTGAAGCATCCGGATGTGCGGAGGTAATGCTTTACCACTTTGTAGTGTGAGAGTCTTACATTGCTCTTTGCCATCCATCTTCGGTATTTCAGTATGGCTTTGCAAAGCTCCATAAGGCCTGCTTTTCAAATTAGTTGCTAACGGGCCTACTTGTAGCTCTTGATTTCTTAGTGATACGGTCTGACTCTGCACAGTGGCGTCATTATTGGCCATATGCTATTTCATCAACTTTTCCAGCGATGCAAACGATCCTTCTGTGGGCTCCTGTGCTACCACCTGACCTTGATTCGCAAATCCTGGGGGATAACTTCCTTTGTGCTGATATGCTAAACCGTTTGATGTGCCAACATTATTTCCTCCCCGATTTCCACTCCAACTGAAGTTGGGGTGATTTCTCCAGCGGGGATTATACGTGTTGGAATATGAGTTGTTTCTGCTATTCCATGGATTTCCCAAATAGTAGATCGACTCTGGATTGCCAGGGCAATTATTATAATCATGATCTGTTTCGCAGAAGGAACAAGAAATCCCTCAATATGGCAAACATTTCCCTTGCCAGTAGATGCTCCCACTGTGCTCTACTGTGTCATGCTTCTCATCACTAAAGCTGTCAAGTTCTCAATCTTTGAGTTCAGAGCAGAGTATGATTTGTTAAGTCCCTTACTTCCTCTACCTCGAATAGCTTTAGGGTCGGACCATGAATGATTGTTCGATGATATTCTCTCTAAGATATTGAATACTTTAGCATAAGGTTTTGTAGCAATGCGTCATTTGCTGAGGCATCGATGACAAGACGCGTGGCATCATCCAATCCATTATAATATGTTTCAATCTGCATGCATCTTGGGATTCCATGGTGAGGGCATTTTTGAAGCAATCGCTTGAAACGCTCCCATGACTCGCTCCTCACATTCGGTGGCTCGCGCTTATCAGGGTTGGGCGGATTCATGTTTGCTTCAGCTTGGACTCTCCTTTGTTCTCTTAGATTCCTATGGAAAGTTCGTTCTATCTCGTGATCGATAATATATTCGAAGCTCTCAAAATCGTTCATGCACCTATAACCACACAAAAATGTGACAGAAAGAAAACTCGATTAAGCACCGTATCTATAAACACTATTGTTTAAAATAAAATCACCGTCCCTGGCTGTAACGTCCCAAGAATTTATATAAACATCCTAGGCAATGCTAAAATAATTCTTCTGGCTAACCTTAACTCTAAACACGAGACAAGCAACCTCCTGGAAATTAATTTAGATGAAATAAAGCTTCGACTTCCATACCTTCTAACAAAAATATAAATATCATAAACTGTCAGAACTCCGCCCTCCGTGGGCAATTTAAAAGAAAACAACAACATCTCAAAATCACCTCAGTGGCAAAAATTATTAAATAAGTAAAAACAACCGTGCACCTAAACTCCAATGACAACAACGACGCGTTTACCAACAACATCCATAACAATTAAGTAGTTCTAAAGAATACAAAATTTCCTCCGCGGTTCACACCCAGCAATAACATATATCTCAAGGCTATTCGTAACCAACTACCCTTCCCCCTATCCTCACTAACTAAGCTAGTGATCCTTCCTCGGTCAAGCCCTCTCTCCATCATCACCGCGGTCGACCCCGTTCACACCTGAAACATATAAAGGTACCAAAAAAAGGGGGGGTGAGTACATACCGTAAGTAGCACTTCCTAACTAGCACAAAACAAATTATGCTCACAGTCACAACATAAAGAACAAAACAATAGCGAGGCAATCAAATAAGCAGTGAGAGATAGCGAACAATTAACTTGACATTTAGAACAAAACAAGAGCAAGGCAAACAAATAAGCAGAGAGAGATAGCGAACAAATAGCTTGACATTTATTCCCAAGTCACCGTACCTCCTCCTTCTCCAGTACTTGATGTCCGACCTTGCCATTTATTCCCAAGGCCAAACACCACTA